GCAACTGGCTCTTAAAGGGAATGGGAGATGAGACTCTGATTGGTTTATTGCACGTTATGCCCAAAACACACCCATTACTCATTAAGAGAATAGGGACAACCCTTTTAGACCATGCGCCGGGCGCGCCGACCGTTTTTCTCGTCGTTAAACTAGCAAAAGTGGATTTGGACACACCCTAAGTGCACCTGCGCCGTGCACTTTAGACCATGCGCTTTGATTGTTAAAATAGGGCATAATAACAGAGAAAAAAAATGAACATAAAAATTTCAATGATACCAATAAATAATTACTTAATGCTATTCAAAACCTTTTTAAATTTATCGCATCGTCCACAGTCTGCAAATAACTGACTTGTGCAGAAACTGAATGGTTTCCGGACGATTTGCAGAGATAAAGCTGTCAGGCTGAACGCATGAACACCCTTTAACTCTGCATGTTTGAATTTCAGCAATTTTGAGACATGGTTTGTAAGAACAGCTGGATGAAAGAGTCGTGGGTAGTTTTCATATATCGTCAATCGGTCCCATAGCAGTGGGGTGCCTATCTGTTGTAGGATAACCTCAGAAATATAATTTGAGCCCCTACACGATACAGTCCCTTGCTGATGCCAGTGAACGATTGCTGAAAAGAGACATACAGCTCTCTGAAAAAAGTGCCAGACTTCCCAAATCGCGATGGGACTTTTGAAGCTGATGTGTGTCATGTATTTCAAAAACTTTCTCGCCTGACAGCAACGTTAACTCAACCAATGGCATGAGTCTGAGGTCGGGATCTAAAAATCACTCTAAAAATTGAAGGTAAATGCATAAGCCGCCAAATGTAAACCTGAAAATACCCAGTCATTTATAGAAACATACATACGTATGCGTCCCACATCCGTATTTTTATTAATGGCATCAGTAGAGTTATATAACTGCTAGTCAATGAGGTGTGTATGTCTGCCTGCAGCATGTCAGCTCTACACCCACCAAGTAATAATGAATCTTCTCACTCCTGCTAAATCCATTATGTGTTTGATATCCTTTCATAGCAGGCAGGGTGCCATTCATTAAACATCTGTTAGGACTCTCCCTGTCCTCCGCACAAGCCCGTTTCCGTACCCATAACGGAAGAGTCACCATAGAAACCCCTGAGGTGGTGGCGGGGTTCGTTTATGCCGAGCATATGATGAGCATTACTGGTTGAATTTTACAAGGAGCTCTATTGAGGTCTGGCCCAGCTTTGATCCAGAAGGTTTTTGCCCGCTCTTTCAGTCAGTTGAGAACATGGAGGACATCTAAAAACCATGTTTCAGAGTTTCGGATGATATATGACAGAATAGACAAAGAATTTCGGAGCTTAGGGAGAAGACTGTGAAAGTCTAGACTCGAAAAGAACAGAGTTGGGGGTTTTTTTCGCTAAAAATTCACAGGGCATGCCATGGGACACTAAGACACTAGGTCTTATTCACTAATAATTCCACATGGTTTTATGTGCAAACATTTTGGCAAACAATGTAAAAATGAATATTAATATTGCATAAATTCACATAATTTTTTTATTTCCATGTAATGCAGGCATTCCCAAAATGTTTGTCAGCCAAACCTCTTTCCCCTAATATATTTACTTGAAGTACCCCAGAGATTTTAAAATAAATATTTTAATAATTAAATATCACATTTGCTTGTTCACGGTTCTCTGATGTTGGTTAATGTTCACAATGTTCACACAAACAGAATATTTCATTTTTTAGTAAGTGCGTTTTTTTTTTATTAATGTTATTTTAAAATTATTTACTTAAATTTTTTTGTGATGTAATTAATTATCAGCTTTTCATTAAACCCATGAACCCCCTGCAGTTCCCAAACTCAGTTGGGGATACCTTGACGTAATATAATGTTTAATGCACTTCATGTTGTTAATAACAACAAATGAATATATTTTCTTACTCTTTGTATTTCATTTCAATATGGTATAAGATTATCCCATTTAAATCAATGTGACAAACAAATATAAAAGTAATCAAAAAGTTGTCCGATTATATTACCTAAAATGTGTAATGTAATGGATTACGTTACTAACAAACAATTTTTTCATGTAATTTGGAATCAGTAACAGAACCCTATTTAAATATTAAGCAATCATGTTAAAATAATAAATATAAAACTAAATGCATTCACATTAGAAATCTGCCATGCTAGATTTATTATTATTACAACATAATTAAATATATGGTACACTTCACAAGTAATTACAAATAAATTACATGTAACACATTGAATCAAACATTAAATTTAAGCAGAAAAGTATTTTCTTGTAAAACTTCAACCAATAATCTTATGTATTCTAATATATTATTTACATTAGAATATTTAATCTACTGTATTATTTACAACTTCAAAAAATCAGTGTATAATAATAATAATAATTTATCATCATAATTTTAATGCTTGAGATCCATATCCACATAAAATAGACAAAACAAGGGTAATTTATTTGTACCTTTTTGTATTATTTATAGAATGTTATATTGTTGCTGTTGATTCGTGGTACTAGAACAACAGAAGGCACTTGAATGGCACTAAACATTTCTTGCTTTGCTTCAGAAATTGTTTTTGACTTCACCCACATGCTGTCAACCCTAAGTTGTTGTTGCATATGCTTTAGATTGCAGCTTTAAAACAGCTCTTTAGTTGCATCAGATCAAGAGCCTTTACAAATTGTCATAAATTCTGAGCCAGGACCCCCTTACTCAACAGCTAATATGCAAATAAGACAGAGTCAATCTGCTGAGAGTAATATCTAAATTGATATTTTATTATCCAGGAGGGTTGTTAAATGAGACAAGAGGGATGAGGGGTAAAGGCTTTGTGTGACGTCCTACATCAGGACTGAATCAGGGGAGTGGACATCCTTTAGTGACTGTTATTAAGAATGGGGCATATTAATATCACTCCTAATTCTACTGAGAAATACTACAGAGGGCCACAAAGAGGCACTGGGAACAGAAAGAAATAGAGAATATAATTTCAGTCAGCCATATTCCTTTCCACAGCATCGGCAAGAAAAGATGCACAGGTTTCTTTTTTTCCACCTCCCCTTCGTTCTCTGGAGGTTTCGGGGCGAGACGTTGAAAGAACACAACAAACAGCGTCTCCAAACCCCTAGTGCTGATGGAAACACTAAACAGAGAAGAAAAAGACTCACTAGCTCTACTTTCCGAGGCGCCACTTGAGGCGTATTCATTCGACTCACGTAGGTGAGGTCTGGGTTGATGGGCAGAGAGACAGCGCACGCTATTAACATTTCAAACCCGGCAAGATTCCTGCTCCCCCCTAATTGATTGCAGCAGTGGTGGGCCACGATTCGGGCTGATATTTATTACCTGGTTTAATTAAAGAGAAAGCCTCGGAAACTGCACTGGGTGAATAATGGACGCTAAAGCTGATTTCTTGTAGTGGCCGGAATATGACAGTGGAACGCTAGTTGTCCTCCTCTACTCGAAGGCATAGCTCTACTTTAAGCAATAACCATAAGAAATTTCTGAAAAGCCAAGATGTGCTATTTTATTGGGGTTCTGTTTTCGCACCTTGCGAATGCATGTCACATCTTGATAGAGACCAGTGCGAATGACAGGTGGGTAAATATCGTTTAATTTGGTCATAAAAATCAATGGGTGTCTTCGACAGCGGTGCAACTGTGTTCAGTCAGCTATAACCTTTTGATAGCGAGGCACATCGATCTGCAAAGTCTGAATAGGGAAATTGATTACAGTGGCTTTGGTAAAGAACATTTCATCAGATTGCAATCAAAAGCCACGAAGGGTCATTGGTGCACAATGGCATCTTCAAACCTTGGAACAAAGAAAGTACATTAACAATCCTTGTGAATTATGAGGACATCCTTCAAAGGGGAATCACCAGATTAATTCACGGCATGCCTCAAATCTTGTTGAGCAATGCTGTTCTTTGTTTACAACCAAGCCTCTGATCTCTTACCTGAATCAGGTAACAAATAACTAGTGCTTTTATTTATTTTTTTTTACTTTTGCTTGTTTACAGCAAAATATGGGAACCGTTGGCAGCACCCATTTCGTGTTTGGGAAGACCAGTGTTGTTGATTCCCTCTAGAAAATCCAGGTTAAGCTGGTAGAAGTAGTCTTGGTAGCATGAGGATATCATAGGGTCAATTCCCTCCGGGGGTAACCTGGGGTTCATTCACTTGCTCAAGGGTACAATAGTGATGGATCAGTGCTTGAAGGTTCAATTCTAAAACTTTCTACTTACCAGACCAGATCTTTAAGCATGGTTCCAAACCACTCAGAATCAAAATCCTTATTCTTTTGAAAGATACCATAAAAGCCACAGCACAACTTTCAGTTAACACGACATTGATTCTATGTTTGGCCCTCAAGGACTTGGCTGCTCTTGTGGCGAATGGCACAGTCACCAGTAAGCCTCCAGTCACGCTGCGGCTGGTCATCCCGGCCAGCCAGTGCGGTTCCCTCATAGGCAAGGGCGGCTCCAAAATCAAAGAGATCAGAGAGGTGAGTGCTTTTCCATATCCCTATCTTTCTTTCCTCCTCCCCAGGACGTCCATGTTAGGACTGCTTGCTCCCTTGCATATTTCATGGGTTTGGATGCCAGTAAAAGCCCATTTATTTTACATTTATGGTCTCTGGGCTGTCAAGATGGTATGAGGTAATGGTGAATGGTCTGTCATGCTAAATTTGGTGTGTTCCGTAATGCAGTTGCAAGGGGTGTGGGGAAGGTTGTTGGAGTTGGGGGAATATCAAGTGCGTTAAGCTAATCAAAGCAAGAAAGCAAGTTCTGAAACGGGGTATGTTTGGTGGGTTGTTGGAGGCTTTCAAGTTAGCAGCACCAAGTAAACACAGTGCATCTCAATGTATTAGTCCTACCTTCTTGCTTCATGGGGTTTGGTTAAGGAACTCTTGGATTCAAGGGTGTTTCCACCATGGTTTTGATTATAAATGTATGTGTATTTGGTGGTTTTAACCTAGCAATACTTAAAGGGGGAATTGCTAGAAGTTATCCAAGTTATCTAAATCAGTTTGGACATATTTTCATAGAGAAAAATCTAATTGCAGTAAAGTTAAAGGAATAGTTCACCCAAAAATGACATTCTGTCATTAATCACTCATCCTCATGTCATTCCAAAGCTGTAAGACATGCGTTCATCTTTGGAACACAAATTAAGATATTTTTGATGAAATTAAAAATAGACACCAACGCAACTACCACGTTAAAGGCCTAGAAAGGTAGTAAGCACATTGTTATAATAGTCCATGTGACATCAGTGGTTCAACTGTAATTTTACGAAGCTACGAGAATACTTTTTTGTGCACAAAGAAAACAAAAATAATGACTTTATTCAACGATATCTTTTCTTCCGTGCATTCACGAGAGTACCATGTGGTGCCATTATTAAGTCATTATTTTTTGTTTTCTTTGCACACAAAAAAGTATTCTCATAGCTTTATAAAATTAAGGTTCAACCAATGATGTCACATGGACTATTTTAAAGATGTCCTTACCACCATTCTGGGCCTTGTCTATGTAGGGTCAGAAAGCTCTCTGATTTCATCAAAAATATCTTAATTTGTGTTCCAAAGTTGCACGAAGGTCTTATGGGTTTGGAACGACATGAGGGTGAGTAATTAATGACAGAATTTTCATCTTTTGGGTGAACTATTCCTTTAAGGTTTGGGTTGGTCCTCATTTTCCGTTACCTAGGTGAGGGGTGTCCAATCCTGCTTTTGTAGGATCAAGTTCTTACTGAACTCCAACCCTAAATAAAGACATCTCAACCTAAACATGCTATTTAAGGTCTCACCTGTCAGACAGGTGTGTGGGAGCTAAACTCTGCATGAAGCTTGCTCTCCAGGAACAGGATTGGACAGATCTGACCTAGGCAAAACAGTGTACTAATGATCTGTTCTTCCTTGGTTTGGCAGAAAACAGGGGCTCAGGTGCAGGTGGCAGGAGATCTTCTGCCTAACTCCACAGAGAGAGGTGTGACAATATCTGGCAGTCAGGATGCCATCATCCAGTGTGTCAGGCTCATCTGCACTGTAATACTAGAGGTAATTTGCCTCTGAGCAAATCCATTTGGCTTCATTAACACAAGATATTTTAATGCATGCATTGGCCTTGGAAAACTGTTGTGGATTACTATAGTGTGATATTCCTAATCTGCAAGACTTCAAAGGCTTCTGTGCTTCAAAGACCGCATACTGGTTTTCAGTTTCAGCTTTAGTGGCGTTGATAAATGGATATGATAAATTTCTGGAGCCTAAACAGATATTTTTATTGCTTTTTGCATGTCAAATACTTTTTTCCAAAGATACTTGATCTAACTAACTGCATGTTAAAAATCATTACAGTAATAAGTGAATGTGGTCTCAGCTCTCACACAGCGTGAAATACATTTGCTCTCAAATGGGTTTCTTTGCACATAAATGGTTGAGAAAAAGAGTTTATACGTTTTATTCAGTGGGATTGTGCTGAATGCGTACTGCTCGTTCTGTTTAATTTTTAATGGACTGGATGAAGAGCAGATTGTTGACGGCTACACTGCCCATTTTAGGAATCCTCAGCTGTCTGCCTGCTCCAGGATGCAAATTATACAAAGTCACCCAATGAATATTTAAAACCATTCTTTTTGTTTGGTTGAGAGCAATTGTGGGGGATGCGCTTCACTGGGTTTTCATCACTTTGGCCTTATTCTGACCTCTTAATCGAATTACATATGAGCAGGTCATAACTACTTATAGTTCAATACAAAAGTTATCGGCGTACTTATGTTTTATTTTATAAAAGATGTCCTTCAGGCCAAGATGACACCTTGTCTTGGACTAAAAGGCCAAGAGTGATTTCAGAGTCATTTTGTAAATGAATTGTATTCCTTTTTAAAGTTGTAGGTGTAAAATGTAGGTTTGAACAACGGACTTATGATGCTACTCAAAGAAATCACGCTCGGGGCACATTTTCAGCATTGCAAGTTTTCCATCTGAGGATATCACGAGCGAGCATTAATAGCATTCTGAAATAATTTGGCCAAATGACTTCCTGTGAGAGGATAATGGTATGCTTTTAAGTGATCCGATGAAGAGCCAATCGATAAATGTTGCATTTGTGCACCGTGTCAGCATTTCCAGTCATTAAGATAATATGACCAATTGACTTTGCAAATGCCTTAGGTAAGAGAAACCGTGATTTGTTCTAGATGTTTTAGCGCTATTGTCGAATGAGCCGAGAATGATAGTCAAAGTTTAATATTGAGGGTGAATCTGTAAAGTTCTGAGTTAAAATTAATAATTGTTGTATGTTTGCAGTCTCCTCCAAAGGGTGCTACAATTCCGTACCGCCCCAATCCTGCTCCAGGCACGGTGCTCATTGCTGGAAATCAGGTAAAAATACACACCAAATTGGCAAAACACATGGTTCTTTCATCCACAATACTAAGCGTCCTACTTTTCTTATAAAATCCATAACACTTAAAGGTGCACTACAAATGAACAAAAATCAATTATTGAGAAAGTACAAAAAAAAAAAAAAAAAAAAAAAATCTGTTTCTGAATTTGTCTCCTTGTCTTACACCCATTCTGTTCTTCTAGTAATACTAACCAATAATTTGAGGTCTCCAATGAGGTTTCGCAGGAAATGTCAATTTTTCACGTCCATAGACATTTGTAGGATTGTTTATTTTATAAATATATAAATATAAAAAAAGATATTATGTATGGATTTTTTTTGTGTTATGAATTTTACTTTTTTAGATAGGGCGTACCAGTGTAAGTTTTCAACTTTAACTGCGTAAAGAACCAAATATTCCATAGTGCACCTTTAATAAGTGTTAAAGGAATAGTTCAATCAAAAAAGTAACTTTTTTTCAATAATGTACTCACCATAGTTTTACAAATGTATTACCTTTTCCTTCTGGGAAAATTTTGCATATTCTGGCCACTCTTTTTAAAATAATGAAAGTGAGTTGTCAAGCAACAAAATGACAACACAATCACAAAAGTAGTCCACAAATAGTCAATTATATTCCAAGTCAAATAATAATGACAGAATTTCATTTTTGGGCGAACTATTCCTTCAAGGCCTTGTTCACACTGCACACAAATCTGATTTGTTTTTCAAATCCAGTCTTCAGGACTGGCTGTCCAAAGTGACATTTTGCAAGGAATGACATTGGAATCCATTTGTTCAGACAGTATAGTCAATGTCTGGTACAGCTACATCGATTGTGAGATTCATGACGTAGGTGTCATCATGATGCCAAGAGAGTTGTTTCTTTTACAGCTGAAATTAGCAAGTTGTCATTGTGGATGTCTATTATGGCTTCTCACCATGGTGCTAAATTTATCAGGTTTACATTATTTAATTGTATGAATGCATGCATTTTAAAGTATGAATGCATTTATATCAGTTTTTTCAGATCCAATTAACATCACCAAAAACACAAACCCCACCTGTAAATATGCTGTGTGCACTGAACATACTTAATATTCAGTTGACTTAATATTGTCGAGCTTCATAAAGCGCCACACAGCTGACAGCATGCTGCCTCCATTTCCTTTAATAAAAAGTGTCTGTCCATCAATGAAAGGTATTGGTTGGGACAGTCTGTGTTTATGAAATATTTCTAAGCTTGTTTGTTGTGTGTTCTCATTAATGACATGGACTGAAGTTATGTAAACAAAGTATTGCAAACATGAATAAATACATCTAAATACATACAAATCTGTCATGCAACTAATATCATATTGCGAGAAATTCTTACAGACTCAATAGACCTTATTCAGTGTGAATGGCATGTTTAATTTGGCACAAATGAAAATGGGATTCAGGAATGGAAGTATATTCAAAACCTGAAACACAAGCTGAACAAATTTGTGTGTAAAAAGCGTTCACGAGTCTCAGTTTTGTCGGAAGATATATTTTGAGTGCTTCGACTAAATTTGTTTGTAAAACAAAAAAAAACTTAAGTTGTCGGATTTAATGGCCTTTGAACAAACTGTGCTTCCATTCTTCACAGCCTTGTTTTCATCCCCATCAAATGAAGTATGCCGTCTATCCAGACTAAGGTCTATTGTTTCACTCTTTAATCTATTGTTTGCACCGTTACTCACTTCACATCACAACACGTCTCCAGAAGAGAGTAGAAGAAGCCGTTATGTTTATTCATGTTGACACAGCTATTCATTATCAACACTCCTATGCATGAATAACAGTAGCATTAAGATCAATCGGGCTCATGAATATTCCTCACCATTAAAAGTGTTGTGAAGTCATTTGCCAATGGTGTAATTAATCGGACTGGCAGAAACTTTGACGTGTGCACTTATGATGCATCGTCTGTTTGATATATTTACCTGTCTGTCATGATGAGTAAGATTAATGTCTAATAATGAAATTAATGTTCATTGCTTCATCTTTTTTTTAAACGCTTTTCTGTCTGAATTCAAATCACGCCTAATGGTAATGATTGCAAAATTGACGCTAATGTACATGTGAAATATGCATATTCGTAAGACTAATGACATGCAAATGAAGCCTTGGTTTGTGTGTCTGTCCCCTATTTGCCTTTTTAAGGTTTTCGAAACGTCAGAGTTTGCGTCTCACCCGCTTTTCTCAGTGGCTCAGGGAGGGCTGGATCTGCAACAAGTGAGTATCATTTATCCATGAAGGATAAAATAGGGAGCTCTGCTTCCCACTCTTTCTTTATTTGCCTCTTTCGCCCCTGCATGGAGATGGGAATTCTGTTCCCCTCTATCATTCCTCCTGCCGCATGTTGCAGCCAGTGTCCTCCACACTTGAGCAAGGGAGCGAGACTATGCAGCAATTACTGTTTTTAGACATGAGATTGTTTTTCCACTTGACATTCAGTTCAAGCATGGCTTTACCATCGATCCGCTGTAATTGTATTGATTTTTGTTGAGAACTGAGTTTTGACTTGATTTTGTACATTTGTGTAAACTTTGCAGGTATGAAATATACGGTGTCCCCCAAGGCCGTAGCTTTGGCCCTTTTATATTTACAACATTTTAAAAGATTTAGCAATAAAGACATTTTTACCCCAAAACACTTACTTCTCTGTTTTCATTTAGCTCACATACACAATTATGAGCTAAAAAAATAAATAAATAATGCAACATATTATAAAATGTATGCATCCATATATTTTGTGAGGAACTGAGCAAAATTTAAGTTGATTTTTCATTTTACTTGCTAAGTTTGCAAACAACTTTGAAGTGTATAATTTACAGGGCGGAAAAAAAATATCACTGTTCTTTAACAGTATGAGGTGCTTATCACTGATGTTTCTGTGAGAAACATTTATTCTGGATGTTTTAGTTACAGGATACTCTGCTGCTGTGGGAAGTTCATTTGAGGATACTATGATGGTGTGAATGACTGATAATCTCTCGACTTAATGTTCATGTCTTCTGGGCAGACTGCTATCAGTGTGTATGTGCAAGTTTTACTAGTCAGCAGTTAAACACAGTGGTGAAAGAATGTTTATCATGGCCTGGAGACACAATATTAAGGTTAAGACTGTTAAGTGTGTATAAAAGGAGTATTTCCTAAAAAATAACATTTACCAACCTTTATGTGATTGCAAATCTGTGAAATTTTTGTTTTTCTGTGAAACTCAGAAGAGATGTTTAGCAGAATGTCTAAGCTGATTTTATTTACATAAGCGCACATTTGCACTCAAACGGTGGTTCATTTATGAGACGTGAGAACCAGTGGCATTTGTTGTCACTGTTTGCTGGCATGACACGTATGATATTCCAGGTCTGATAAAGAGCTATGGCGGAGGGCAAACATTTTCAGTAAAACAACTAAAATTATGGTCTGTTCCTCATACAAAACTGTTTTATGACTTTAGACGTTTTATGGACTACATTTATGTCCTTTTTTGAGATTGACATTCCCTGGTCACTGCCTGCTTTCGTTGTATGGAAAACAACTGCATGAATATTACTGAAATCATCCTGTGTTTTGAGAGTGCATTAATGATGACAATTTTCTTTTTTGGGTGAACTGTTCCTTTAAGTGTCAGCCACCTCTGACTAATGCTGATGAGAAGGCTAAAAAGGGGAACCATGTGACCTTCCGATGCACACACTCTACCTCGAGAGCTGTAAGGACGAGGTGTCAAGCCCGAGCACTGACATTCTCTTAAACGAGCAGAGATAAATGCTGTCTGCCAGGAGACAGGGGACTGACATCACCACGGCTCTCGCTAATGAAGGCACCACATATATGTGTGTGTGTGTGTGTGCATAAGGATTACGCTGCGTTAAGTGGCTCAGCCAGGCGATTAATGCTTTTCTACATTATCGTACATTAGCGTTTTGAGCTCAGAGAACAGGAAGGAAAGAAATATGGAAATTACTGAAATGATGAAAGCACCATCTCCTTTTTGCTAACTTAAGTCCTTACCCGGTAGCTTTTGAAACCAAGTAATAGTTCAACCAAATTAAATTCCAGTTTATTTCCTCACTCTCATTTTGCTCCTAACCTTTTTGAGGACTATCAGGCTCCAGAAATAAATTGCCATTAAAGAGGTCCATATGACTTACGCGCGATATTCCAAGTCTTCTGAATCATACATCACCAGAGAACTCATTTTGATTTAAACATTACAAGATCAATATAGATCCAAATGTGAACATGCATTTAGAAAACAGATATAGTGAATTTTCATTTCATTAATCTACTCCTCGGCTCTCAAATCTCATTTACATTCAAATGACACGTCCAGGGGCCTCATTTATAAAATGTGCATACGCACAGATTTGATCTTCGAGTGTGCGTACGCTAAAATCCACGGCAACGTTCATATTTATAAAAACGGTCTTTGACGTGGAAAAGTACTTACCGCCACGTCAGTGTCTGAGCAGGCGTACGCACTTTTCCTTGTGGCAAAGTTGGAGTACTGCAGCTATTTGAACATCTAAGCTGCAATAATAATAAAAGCGGTGTACGTGCCAGCACCGAATTAGATGCAGAGTAAGAGATTAATTGTGCAGTGTAGTCAGATTTTTTATTAACGGGAGTTTTTGCGAGATTAAACTGACCTTTTTAGTAGCCTAATGTTGAGAGTTCTTTACTCGCTTTCTGTAGTTTATTCCA